AAGCTAATCCTGACGGATCCCTCTGACTCCAAGGGGTACACACACACACTGCCGCTTTGCGGCGCGAAACCTGAATAGTCACCTAACAAGCCTTAGAAAAAAGAAAGGAAAGAGAAAAACGGAAACCGAAGAGGGCAGCAGAAAAAAGGTAGGTGTACGGACGCGCAGGTTTGCCTCACGAGCGGCAAATTGTCTTCATTCTTTTGTCTTTGTTTGCGCGCACACTTTCACAACCGTCCTAGCCTTAATTTTTTTGCCTCCCCTTCGGGGGGGGCGTGTGTCTGTAACCCTTGGAATCACCGGGATCCAGGTGGATTGTTTCTTTGAAGGTTTTTCCAATGTAGGTTGCAGGGGGCCCATGGACACTTGGATGGCATGGGCCAACGAAGACCTATTTTGGCCTTACTTTCTTTCGAAGACCCCTAGATTCCGTCGGGCCTCTCCTGATCTCTTCAGGATGTTGGTAACCTAGGTCGCCGTGTGGCGAGCGGCATTCGAGTCAGCACGCATTTCCATAAGTGTGTGTCCATGTTTGTCCGCCTGGTGGTGTCCGGGCCTTGTCCAGGCTTTGTCCAGGTCCCGTGTGTTGCTTCAGCCCTTGTTCCGGCTTGCTTGGCTCGCGGCTGCATCCTAATGCCTAGTGCCCGCTTCACGTGGCCGCGCTGACACCCTCCTCACCGCAGATGTTTTGTTGCAACTGCGCGTGTTTGTTTTTGGAGTAAAAACAATGTCACCATGTTTCGGCGTTATCATTGTTCATTGCCAGTCTTTTTGGATAAGACCCAGGAGTGGGATGAAGAAGCATCCGAAGACGCGCCTGCGTGCCAACGTTTTCGATTGAAGACCTTGGCGACAGGGATGCTGTCTGGGATGCAGTTTGCCAGCATGTGTGATCATCCGGATGAGTAATGCGGCGCCGGCGACTAGTTTTGGTTGTCATGAGTGAAAACTAAACAAGAGGATTTGTTGTGTTGCTTTTCTGGGGTGAGGCATCCTGATGCTCTCTTATTGTGCATACCGGCACTAACCTTGTCAACGAGGGTGCGGCACTTGAACAATCACAATTGTTTCTTCGTTTGATTGTTGCACATTGTCAGCGGAAAACTCACAATTGCTGAGTCAGCTGGCCTGATTTTCCTCGCTTCCTTTGCAGCTGGTTCTGTGCTAGCGATGGGTGGCTTTACTGCAGCCCTCCAGGCTGCTTGCAAATCACTAGGCTGGATTTGTCCTTGATTTTTCTGAACAGAAGTTCATGGATGGGTAACTATAAAAGTCTTTGTTGCATTAGATTGCAGTTTGCATTTCGAGGTCAAAAAGCAGTGCGGCGAACCTCCTCAATCGCTTCGGTACTTGCTCTGAGTTTGGGAGCCGTAATTTGTGTTTCCGTGGCGCTATAGTGCTCAATCACCGGCCTGGGAACCGCTTGGTTCATTGCACTTCGCGGTCGAAACCACATCCACATGCAAATGAGCAGAGCGACCCAAGGTGGTCCAAGTATAGATAGCGCTTTATGTGGGCATCGCAGTGAACTTGTAAGCCTGCTTGATTTGTTGATGCCATTTGCGGCCAAATACTGTAGGTGTTTTTCGAACAGTTGAACACGAGATGTACGTCCAGTTGGCAGACACACAGCACAAACAAAATGTCAAAGTTCAAGTCACGTACCAGAGTGCGACATGGTTTGCAATGGCAAAGCCTGCCAAGCTTTGCACCTTTGGGATGTTCTGTACAGCTGAATCGGTGCACGTTGCACCTGTGCCCAAACCCGCTTTGCATGAGAGGTTCAAAAGTTTTAAGTTTCAAGGACTTTTGCATGAAATTGAAAATTTGGGAGCGAGTTTTGCTCTACAAGAGTTTGCTTTTGAGGTTGCTCCGCTGGTACAAGCATGAGTTCTTCAGCTGGACGAGCTCGCCAAGGTGGATATGTCATTCTCGGTTGCAAGCTAGGTGCCAATCCATAAATTCAGCATATGTATGAATATGTCATGCAAAATATATATATATGTATATATAGTATCCATTATATCTACCTACCTTTGTATAATGGTGGTTAAATGTATTTGCATGTTCTGAACATGTTTGAAGGTTGGATTTGAGGGCTGGATTTTGCTTGTCTTGACAAAATACTACAAGTACATGTATATATATATATACACGTATGATATGATACACAATATTATGTATATATAATATATGCTACGGTACATACATGCATGTACATTCAGAATTCACATGAACGAAACATGTGCCACAGTCGTAATCAGAACGCAGGTGACTGAGTCCCATTGCAACGCATTGCAATGGGATTCAGGATTAAAGAATTCAGGAAAAAAAAGGAATCCATGCCAGGATTCAAGATTTCGGAACAGAGTTCTGTATGGGTCAGGAGGTTCCAGAAATCTTGAATTTATCTAAGGTTCCCCAATGTCTTGAATTTTGGACTCAGGAAATATTTACTGTATATACTTGGTCCCTTCATCCATGTGCACTAACCACCATCAAAGGGATTCAATGGGTCTGACAACAGGATGTTTTCTCATATCTTCTCAACATATCAATCTTCGCTACCGCCCCAACTCTAATCTTTTGAGTATTCTCAAAATCGTTTTAGCCAAAACAGATCTAGTTGATATTTAAAGTATGCATATGGTGCAACAAAGCGGTTCTCACCACCACATGGTCTTCGCGTCTCTTCTTGTCTACGGTCTCTTTGAGGTATTGAATGACATCATCCATGGTAGTGGTTTTGTCTATCGTTTCTGCACCTGCCAACATAAAGCAAAATGAATTTGCAGCGCGAATGCAAGCTACACGAAAAGTGTCACAAGTATCTATGGAATGTGATACCTCCTTGTCAACCCTTATTGCTGTGAGGTTGGTTATGAACTTCCAGCTGTAGTATCGCACTTGCAACGTCGCCAAAGAAAATGCTTTACTGTAAATAGTTTAAAGCACCATGTCTCATCATATCTATCTTTTGCTCTATCTTGCCCTTTGTATCCTTCAGACTGCCAGAATCTTATACATGTTTTCAGTATTTTGGGGAAGTAAACCTCTTGCTCTGGTGACAGCGCACCGCAGCCACTCTTTGCACACTAGTTGGTTCTTCGCCATTTGTGTATGCTAATGTGTCACTTATTGGTACCCCTTGTTTCCTAAAGGAAACTCAATTCTATATTGTGGTTGGCATTGGTTGGGCAGGCAGCAAGTTGCCTTAAACACAATTTATCATTGATAGGAACGTTACTTCCAAGTCCAAGTAGGAGGGTTTTGAACAATCAGTGTCCTTTTCAATTGTTGTTTAGCAATGATATTGTTCTTAAAGGTTATTGAGAATGAATCAAGAGTAAAAAGGCGTTGGACTGTATTTGTGCCAGAGTTGTCTGGGCTTCATGACAACTACAAGTTGCAGAGTACTTTAAACGCACCAAAATGGTTGGGGGGTAGCATCATTTATAGATGCTTACATGTTTCTTGTATATAGAGATACATAGATCGGATGGGATCGATCTATCGATAGATAGATAGATAGAAAGATAGATAGATAGATACAATTGAAAAGCGGAAGGATGGGCAAACTCACAATTGCAGCTGTGTCCCTTTTACTTTTGCGAACCTCCTAGTCAGGGGTTCGAGCCATCGCACCAAAAGCTCGAAGCAAAGTCACACGAAAAGTAGAAAAGATGTGTTGCCTTGAACCTATGTATGAGGCACAGAAACAAATTGATGCTGCCCTTTCCCAAACAGGTTTTTGCTTGAATTCCTTGCACTGGCGCGTCCGATTTCTACTCATTTGCCAAATATCAATGCTCGAGCTTTCAGAAGAGACACCTTTAGAGGCAGCTCTGTCTAGCATTACAATGAGACAAGTGAGAAGGGATCTGAAGAAAAGATCTTTCTACCTTGTTTGCTCTGAAGATGACCCTGAAAATATTTGTCAAACTGTTGTCTTTTGGTTCACTCAAACGCCAATGCTATTCTTGACGAAGTGCAATGTTTCTCAGGTTCAGAAGACAAGGTGGTCTGTGGCGTTGACCAACTAGCTGTATCCCAAACACTCTGAGGTTTGTCAAAAGAAACGTCAATTATATAGATCCTTTTGTACTCGGGAACTGCAACAGGCATGATTTTCCCAGCATTGCGCAGTTTGCTTACTTGAAACGATCGTTATGCAGAGGTACATGCTTTTGTGGATTACGTGCATTACAAAACACGTTCTTAGCCTTCAAACCTTGAGATGTCGATGGTTGATCTCAATATCCATATTGGGACTTGGTCACTGTAGAAAGGAAAGTCTCCGAATGCGACTCGTGCAGACAAGAGGATCAGCAAGTCCCTGCATGTGATGAAGTCTCATGGTACCAGGATGTACCAAGAGCAGGTTGCCAGTGCCACTTGGACATTACACAGCTTGCAGGGTCAGTCCCAGAGTATCCCAGAGTCCTACCGTCCTTGGAAGGTGCGACCATTGTCATTCCACGGCCACCAAGATAGTTGGGAGTGCAAAGCCACTGCCAGAGGAGCTATGACAACCAACGCAGACCACATCGAATCTGAGGTGTTGCTTTTTCATTTTTCTCTTGGCTGGCTGACATTGCCTTTTGCTTGGCATACGCACTCTTTGCTGACAGGAGGAGCACTTCCATGCTTCTCAAGTGGAGATTGCACAGTGTTCCGCTTGCGGGCAACAGACGCGGTTTCCTCGTGCAGTCCCAAGAATTTGCCCTAACAAACGCATTTGACAACGTAATCCGGGAGATGTGGCCTGTGACCTCTCCTTACAGAAAGACATGCTGTTTCTTCACGAACCTACAGACATTTTTATTCGGTATACAAAGGAGTCGACATTTCTAGTACTGTACTTACAATACTCGCTCTAGTCTGAGGCTACAATGATCCAGCCAAGCTATTGGAGACTCGAACAGGTCGCTGTGGTGAATGGGCCAATTGCTTTACACTCCTTTGCCGTTCTCTAGGCAACTCAGTCGAATTGCGTTCTGAAGCTAATTCAACATTTAGAGTGGTTCAAAATTCATTCTCTGTTGTCGAAGCTTTCAGCCTCATAGTCAAAGTGCGATACTCGCTAAGCCGCTAAGGCTATGAAGCTCGACATGTGCATGACTGGACAGACCATGTTTGGACAGAAATCTACTCGGACTCCGAGCAGCGGTGGCTTCATGTGGATTCATGCGAAGCTGCCTTCGATTCGCCTTTGATGTATGAGAAGCCCGGAGCACCATTTTGCTAAAATATGTTGTATAGGTTTCTCTAAAAATCTAGGAACCAAATCATTAGTGCGAGCGCTTCTTCAAGGAAGCTCCCCCCGACTAGTAGGGTAGTAGATACCTCTCTTCTACCTTAGCTACCTCTTCTGGCGGCCTACCACCCCCCCCCACGGGCTTAAAAAAGAGTGTTGCTTTTGGCCAAAAGAATCCAAAAGACTCTGACACTTGTGATGTCAAGAGCTGACCCTAAGGAAAGGATGGGGCAAAAAGCTGACTTATTGCGTCGGGTTTGCTCGTGACCATGTGGTGGACGTCACGAGAAGATATACGCACAAGTTCGAGGACCAATGTTCCTCTCTGTGATATTTCATTCTACATCACATAGATGGCTTGGCCACGGCTAGCAAGTTATTTCGTGAAGGAGCTTCTTTCAAGACGGACAGCTTGCACAGAGAAGGTTGGACATTTTTTGCCCACTGAGATTTCAATTGCACGCTAGCAGAAGCGTAGACATGGTGCAGACTTTGCCTTGACTCTTTGCCAATAAAAGCCACAGGAACTTGGCCAAGCTTTGTTTGCCTTGTCTGAATTTGCCATCGACAGATGTTTGACGCAGTGTCTTGGTATGATTCCCTGTCGCTTGAGCTGCTCAGCAGCAATGTTAAGTCTTATAAGTCAGCAATTTGTGAGGTACCCTGATATCATTCAATCTGAACGTCGAAAGTTACTTGCGCATCGAGCATCTGAAGAAGAGACTCAATTGGCACCGGTTGCCACGCGGAACACCAAGCCTGAAGAGGAGGTGCTGCCTTGTTGTCGCTGATGTGCCGAAAGTGTCATCTTGAGGTATGAGCCTAAAGCAAATGCAGCCAGTCATTTGTGATGATTCACGATCATTCAACTTGTTCTCGCTTGGATTGAATATCGCGGCGATCGTGGTGTTGCTGCTCCTTGTTTAGGTTGGGCGGACCAGTGGAGATGCAGCCTGGCGACAGCAGCGGGGAGAGCTTGGTGCGAATGAAGCAGCGAAGCAAAAGGCCAGATGTTTAAAGTTTAAAGGCAATCGCATTGGAGAGCTCGCTGCGGAATGATTCACGAGCTTCACCCTGGTGCTTCAAACATTAGCCCAGCTTTGCAACCCAACAGCAGCAATTGTTAGCCCCAGCTTTCTGAGATTGTTTCGGGAGCTTCTCATGGCTCTCCAGTCGACGAATTTCTTTCGCACTTTTGCAGCCAGAACAAGATTTTCTTGTTTTTATATCCACATCGGAGAAAGATCATCGCCGGTCAGAAGATCTTGTGGCGGGGCAATTTCATGCTTCAAAAGATTTCTGTTTGATTAGTGAAATGCTACCAATATGTTATCGAATAGACGATCCTAGAAAGAAGATGATCTGGTTGAAATAAAGGAAAGCTTTCTGATCTTTGCGTAATGGAAAACACTCTTAGTTGTGAATCATAAGGAGGCATACAACGGGCAAGCCTTTTTCCTTGTTGCTTGTATTGGGGGTTTTCTGTATGACACAGAACAGAAATGTTGGCCTCGGTGTCAAACCATTGGCTTGAGCTGTTCCTCGCAAAGCTAGCCCAAGCGGGCTTCAAAAGCAAAGCTGCAGTGCTTCAATTAGCCACTGCTCACAAAGAAGCCTTGGTGTCAGAGTTTGCCTAGAAAATGTAAAAGGAACATCATCTTAAAATTCGAGTTAATTGAACGCCCTACCTCCCCACCCTGTAGCTATAAAGCAGTCGAACAATCTTTGGTAGTCGCAATATTCGCCAAGCGTTTCTATATTTTTAGAAAAACCAGCTGTCAATCTTACTAATTCCGGCGAGGGTTTGCGTTTTACGTTGTTTTAAACCATGAAAAGCAACAAAAGAAAAAAACAGCCCTAGAAATGTACAGAGCTGTAGTATTGGGAAAGAAAGTGTACGTACACGATGCCTTGAGTGTTTGTACCTCACGTGTTAGCCAATACCAGTTCATCGCAGATCGTTTCTGCTCAGAGATCGAAGTCTACAGAGCAATGGATGCCGAGACAAGTGCAGCAATTGGCAAACGCCTTTTAAACTTGCTGGCAGAGATAGATGGTCTGGAACTGGAAAGACAAAGAGGACCTTTGTGACAATTGATGTGTGTCATGGCAATCATAGTATTGCTTACTAACATACACATACATATGGCATGCGGCATATTTGTTTTCTGATTTGGGCACAAGCACTGGTTTGCACAACACTGCTTTCATTCGATAGGACGCCTTCGAATACAACATAATGTTGCGGCCCTGCTGAAGACTGTAGAGGAGTCTGACCAAAACCAACGCGAAGGCAAAGTCAGGAAATCACAGTAACATACAAGAATCTGTAAGAAACTGCAAGGAGGATTCAAAGGTAAAGTTTAAAGGGTTAGCTTTCGACGTTTGCAATTGTCTGCTTGCTTCTTTGGTGATTCTCCTTCTCCCCTGCTTTTGTTTTCATACCTGATCGGTCTCCGCGCAAGGCCTTTCCCTGATACGATCGGAACTTGAAGAGATTGGTTCAGTAACATGCCGCCGGTTTGCGTTCTCTTGGCGGAATGATTTGTTGGAAGTGTGAATTCAAGTGCAGAATCCTTTGCAGTGCATCTGTCCACGCCGCATGAGGTGAGATAGACAGAAAGCTGCTGGCAAACTTAAATGATTTGCGGATGAGATGTGGAACGCCACCCGTGGAAGCAGGTCGAGGAGGACTATCACAGGGTGGTGTAGTTTATGTAAATTGTCAAAACAAAATCTTCAAGTGACACTTGCTGAAGCCTGGATTGTCGCAGGCCAACGTGCGCGAGATAGACCCAGAAGCCCACGCCGTGACCGTGAAACAAAAGACTCAGATCATCATCCACGTGAGCCTGAAGAGCCTGAAGCTATGGATGCCGCCGCCGCACGTGAACGTTCGTGAAGATGGTGACCCTAAGTAGAATAGACTGAGAGACTGAGTGGCTAGAAGAAAATATGGGAAAAACGCGCAAAAAGAGATAGCCTAGCCTACCCTCAGGTTCATTGACAATGATGCTGATGCTAGCTGCTAGTACTTGGAGCACCTGTTCAAGTACACCATCAGACCCTATAGATAAGTGATCAGTCTACTGTACACTGTTACATCATGCCTTCTGAGAAAGCGGTGCAGCATGCACACACGCACAAACAAACATACTGATGGACATACAAACCAGCAAGCCAACAAGCAAGCAAGCAAACAAACATACAAACATACAAACATACATGCATACATACGCAGGTGCATGTTTGGGACACGGACCAAAACAAACTCAATTTCCCATTCCCATGGTGTTGAGCTGGCCATGGATGAGTCACCTCCAACAAACACTGCTCGCGATGATCAGCTTCAAATTTGGAGAATGTTACCTTGTACTGGCGGCGGGAAAAGGGTGCCTACGTTGGTTTGGAAATCAGGGACCGTGAGAATGCTGCGCTTGTCTTCAGGGGAAGCATCAATGGGTGTGGTGGATGCGGCCGAGGGAGGAAAACTTGCAATAAAGTGCTTGTGGAGGATCATGATGTCTTAAAGCAAGAGTTGACAGGCCACACAAAATTCCAGAATGTTCAAACCAAGCGTCCATGGACACTTGCAACAGTTCAGAGGGTCTTGCGATCCACTTTCACTTGGGGAGAGAACAAGTATGACAAACGCAGGATTCTTGTGGTTGGGACTGGGGCTCAGCTGGTATCCAATTCCACTTCAAGTCTGGAACAGTCACAGTCAAGTTGCGCTGCGGTTTCCGTTTCAAGTGCAGAAGACAATCGTGGTGAGCTGGAAATGCTCTTGGTCAAATTGCAGACTGCCTGTCAGTGGAATGAAGAAGCTTTGCGCCAGTTGGACACCCTTCGATCCTATCTTGCGGTTGCGCTTCTCATTTGCAATTGGCTGAACTACACTACTAAAGCTAAAGTCAAAACGTCGGGTTCGGGAATGGTGAGTCAACTATAGTTGAAACAAGAGTGAGTCAGGGTCAGGGTCAATCCCTGTGATCGGATTTCGGATTAGTCACGTAGCACCATGGCCGCCTGTTCCAGGTCAGGAAAACAATCTCGGAAGCAAGGAGGAGTTGCTTACACTCCAGAGGCTATGCTGGATGCTGTGCTTCTTTCGGACCGCTTGATAGTCAAAGATGATATTGAGCATGTTGCAGCTGAGACTCTTGTCCTGTTAGTCGGAAAGCAGAAGTTGTAGTTAGTAGTTTACACATGCGTGATTATTATCTTTACTGTGTCCGCCGTGCGCTTGTAATTATCTGGGTATGTTTGTAAATAGTGTTCAGTCGTCGTTCAACACTGTGTCATGACACGCAAGGGCTACAACATTGATTTTGCACAAAGCCCTGGCCGAGCAAATTCACAAACAGGAAATCTCTGTGCCAAAGAAGTCCGCTCTGTACGAGTATCGGATTACACTCGACCTTGCCAGTATGGTGTTTGCGCGAAGGCAGTGGCTATCAATGAAGCACAACTGGCGCTGCCACTTACGGATCTTTGGCTGCCATTAAGCGCGCAAGCTTTTGACAGGAATTACAAATGATGATAGAGGTCATTGGGGGGCGGGCTTTGAAATGATTTCACTTGATGGCACACACACAAAGGACAGACAGCTCACCTCAGTTTGGAAAGGATTATCTCATGAGCGAACTGGACACAGTTTACATGAGCGAGGCCAAGTCTTGGAAGGACTTGAACTTGAACAAAGACAATCTGGTCACACGGTTGCTGCCTGGACAAACCCTTGGTTCGCGATCAACAACCCTTGCGCACAAAGCCAAAAAGGTTTTGCGTCAGCTGTCACTTGAATCGGAGCTTCTGCCAGGGACATTGTAAAGGTGCTATTCAGTGATGACAGATTGGGGTGTTGAATCAGGGTTATGGCGGGCTCCAGCCGAGATTCTGTCCAGCCTCAAGGAAGCCTACAATTATGATACACTGTTTGGACTATCCCTATTCATTCCAGACCATGACCATTCTTTGCATCATGCGACTATGGCAAAACAACCCTCGTGTATTTCAACTTGTTTGTAGGTGCAGCTTGTTCTGTTCTTTCTAGCCCATGTGTTGTTTCAAAATTCTGTCCTAGGTGATGGAATCATTTGAAATGTACTTTGATTGGATGGATTACTTTGAACCCCGGCTTCGAGCACTTGGCAACTTCTTCAGCAATTCTGGGACATCATTGCGATTTGCCAACTACTGCGTAAAGAAAATCGCATGATTAAGGCCAGACCGGGATTGGTTGAAATGACTGGCACTCTGCGCTTAAATTGTGTTTGCTGTAAGCCTAGAAGTTTGAAGGTGGATGTTGCCTTTTCCTGTGTGACGTTTGTCTGCCATCAGCATGAAAAGCTCAGAGATTCATTCATCGCATTGTTTGAATCGACCTGCCCACAGCTTTTGAGCCACAGGTGGCAGTTTGTGCGACCAAGTAGCAAGCAGCGAAAAAGAACTTGGTTCAGTTTCAAATCACCCGTGTCCAACAGCATTTGGCAGTACTGTGCGTGTGAGAAATGATGTGATTTGAGGTACCACGCATTACAATGGGTCACGCACAGACGGGAGGCCTTCAAGTACCTTTTGCTGGACACGGCATTTGCCAATGGTGGCGGCGGCAAAGACATGTCGTCTCTGGAATGGGACCTGCTGATGGATACAATCAAGCCTGACACCGCTCAGTCAAACAAGTTTTGGGCCACCGCAGAATTGATTCACCTACTATCAGATTGGGGTGTTGGGGTTAGTGTATTTCTTCAACAGTGCCCTTGCCTGCATCACAAAACAAACAAAGAAAGAGCATCCTGCAATCTCAAGGGGCGGCGCGCAATCAATCTTTCAAGTGGTGCTTGGAATACATTCCTGAATTTGCTCAGCAGCATCAAGATTCCCACTGAATGTCGCGCATTGCTTCAGAAGTTGGATGCTGAAACAACCACTGCCTTGCTCCATTCATTTTCAAACTGCAAGGAACAAATGATGTTCCGTGGAAAGCAGGCATGGAGCTT